AGTTTCGCTCTCACGGACACCGCCTATCAATCTTTGGCTAAGGAGAATCGCGATCAATGCATCCTGATTTCGGGTAAGAATTCGCGCTTTTATTCTTTTACATTGACATCGAGTTTTAATTCCTTTCTGTTGGTTTCTTTTTTTTTATCAAGTTTGTTTTCTCGTATTTTTACGTGTTTTCTTTGCGCTTAAGGCGAATCGGGATCCGGTAAAACGGAAGCGTCCAAGAAGATCTTGGAGTTTATCGCGGCTGCTACCGGGCATAAGAAGCAGGTGGAAGAGGTGAACAATAAATTGATCGGCAGCAATCCCGTGTTGGAAGCTTTCGGTAACGCGAAGACTAATCGCAATGACAATTCATCCCGCTTCGGCAAGTACATGGACGTACAGTTCAATTTTCAGGTAAAATTCCAATTTAACGATGAATTTCTTTTAAAAGTGTAATCAAAAGAAATTGAACAAAATTTCTCAAAAATTAAGGTTATTCTCTAAAAATTAATAATAAGAGTTATGACAATAATTTAAGGAGAAGAAAATTTACAAGAGAATTATTAATGTAATTACGGTACTTACTGTGCAAAGTTAGTGATTATCGATTTCTCTCGATTATCTTTTTTCGGAAACATTTCGGGCGTTTGGTTTAACATTGTTGGATAACGCTTTCGCGTTTTATCAGGGAGACCCAGTCGGTGGAAATATTCTAAACTATTTGTTAGAGAAGTCTCGTGTGGTCCATCAATCGGTTGGCGAGCGGAATTTTCATATCTTTTATCAGCTTTTGGCGGGCGCGGACGACGACACGTTGAGAAAATTGTTCTTGAAGAGAAACCTCGACACTTTCTTTTACCTGAGCAACGGAGTAAGCCCATTTGATTTTTATATTTTATTTTTTAAATCAAAATCTTTTCTCTTCTTTTAAATTTTTTCTCTATACGATCTCTTTGTTGATTCATAAATCGATTCTTCAGACGAAGGGTACGGTGGATACCATCGACGATGCTAATCAGTACAAGGAGGTCGTTCAGGCGATGAAAACCATGGAGATGTCTCAACAGGAACAAAACGACTTGTTTGCCATAGTCGCGTCGGTACTACACATGGGTAACGTGGGTTTCTCGGAGGAAGACGGCGTAGCGACTATTCTTAAACCCGCGTCCGTCGATGCTGTCGCTACGGTAATTATTTCTACATAATTTCAATAATTTTTGTTAAAATCGTTAATATACTTGCAAGGTCAAGGTATTAGAAATTTAGCAGATTGAAAAAATAATTGCATAATGAAATATAAAATAATAATTTTAATGTTATATTAAAATTACTAGCCTTTTATTTTTTTGTTACAATTATTAGTCTTTTATATTTTTTCTCATCGCCATTTCATTACGTAATAATTTTTTTATATAATTAATTCGTTATGCGCATTTTTTTTTTTATACGTTTATTATTTGCAAATTGCTAGATGTCACATTTCTTGATTGAATAGCTGTTAGGATGCGACGTGAAGCGACTGGCAAAGGCGTTCACTCATCGCACCATAGATGCTCACGGTGACGTGGTAGTTTCACCCTTGAATAGGGAATTGGCTATTTATGCGAGAGACGCGCTGGCGAAGGCCGTGTACGACAGATTATTCACCTGGCTCGTGACTAGACTTAACAAATCTTTACAGCCCCATACTAATCCTCGACGCAAAATGGTCATGGGTATTTTGGACATTTACGGCTTTGAAATCTTTCAGAAAAATAGGTAACTATCGAATAATAATTGCGTACGCTCAAAGATTTTATGAAAACGTTATGTGACTGCCATGAATAACAATTACAGAAAAATCTACTTTTTTCGATTCCTAAATTTTAAATTTTTATTATTTTATATATATATTTTTTTTAAATTTTATTTTATATTTTACATCTGAAATTCAGAATTTTATATAAGGAACACATTTTTTTGACGGAAACTAATTATTACAGTATGACACAAATATTACGTTTAATTAACGATAATTTTTTTCTCGTTACTTTGCGACAGTTTCGAGCAGTTCTGCATTAACTTTTGTAACGAGAAATTGCAACAACTGTTCATCCAATTGACGCTGAAGTCAGAGCAGGAAGAATATCTACGCGAAGGAATAACTTGGGAAAACATAGAGTATTTTAATAACAAGATCATCTGTGATCTGATTGAAGAGAAGTATAAAGGTTAAATTTTTATTAAAATTCGATCAATCTGTATTTTCCATTATATCGTCATTAATTAATTATTAATGTAATAATGGCAGGAATAATATCGTTAATGGACGAGGAGTGTTTGCGACCTGGAGAACCGACGGATATGAGCTTTTTGGAGAAATTGAACGTAAATCTGAACAATCATCCTCACTACGTCAGTCATAAGAAAGCTGACTTACAAACGCAGAAGATTATGGGACGAGACGTAAGAATTTTATACTAACAATAAATATTAAATTGAATCGTGAACAGCAATATCTCGAAATACTCGAGAGAGAACTAAATTATTTTATTCGATTATTTCAATTATTTTATTTTAGTTGATTTAATTGTAAGTTCAATTTATTTTAATTTGTTTAATTATACATAAATATAAATAGATCATCTGTTATATTAATTTATATTACACGTTGCGATAATTATTTGTGAGATTTGCGTAAAATGAGAATGCAAACTTGACGTTTTAGGAATTCAGATTGATGCATTATGCCGGCGATGTTACGTATAACGTACGCGGATTTCTCGAGAAAAATAATGATCTACTATTTCGAGATTTACGCGAAGTTATGTCGCATACAACAAATTCAATCACAAAGGTAGGAATTTGACTTCTCCACAGAAAAAATAAGAAAATATTTATTTTTTAATTAAAAAGTACTATTTTTAAAGTGGTCTCAAGTTTCGCAAATTAAATTTTATTTATTGGAAGAAAGTATTTTCTTTCAATTTCTCTTATATACTATTATATATTTTTTTCCTGAAAATTTTCTTTGGCTTTGAATATTTTTTTTTTAATACGTTTTCTTATAATTTTTTTGGTATTTTTTATTACTTACAGACTGTATTTGATGTGAAAGATTTAACCAGTAAAAAACGCCCGGAGACCGCCATAACTCAATTTAAAAATAGTTTGAATAATCTGGTTGAGATTCTCATGGGTAAAGAACCGTCTTACATTCGTTGCATCAAACCTAACGATTTTAAGATGCCTAGTAAGTAGATTTGTAAAATAAAAATTGAAATAAGGCAGTTCGTAATACTTAACGTGATGTATTTAATTAGAATTTCAAATTTAATTCAATTTAATTTCAATTTAATTCAAGAAATATATGTATAAATATAAAAATAAATTATTAAAGATCAAAAACCATAGAAACATGTCGAGATGAGAAGTCTATTGAACTTTCGCTTTCAGATCAATTCAACGAAAAGATTGTGTTGCATCAAGTAAAGTACTTGGGCCTAATGGAGAATCTGCGAGTGAGACGCGCCGGTTTCGCATACCGCAGACCGTACGAGCAATTCTTGCAGCGTTACAAGTGCCTCTGTTCGGAAACCTGGCCAAATTACCATGGCCCGGCCAAGGAAGGCGTGCAGGTGCTCGTGTGTCAGCTCGGTTACGAGCGCGACGAGTACAGGATGGGAAAGTAAGATCGCAATTATTATTAAGCACGCTGTAAATTGTAACTTATATATTTTACAAACGTAAAACAAATTTTGAAAATAATAAATTAAAAATTACATTTGTTAAACTCGTGAAATTCATTATTGTTACAGCACAAAGTTATTCATCCGATTCCCTAAAACGTTATTCGACACGGAGGACGCGTTCCAGATGAAGAAACATGAAATAGCAGCCATTATTCAGAGCAAATGGAAAGGTATATTAACGAGGAGGAAATATTTAGAGATACGAGAAGCAACGATCGTTTTCCAGAAATACATTCGCAGGTGGCTCGCGAAACGCGAGGCCAAGAAACGGCAGCAAGCGGTTGCCACTGTCCGCAGGTATTTCTCTCTTAGTCTTGTACTTTTTTTCTATCAAATAAAAAATTTGCCTATACATTTAATTCATATTTAGTAGAATTTATTCTGCTTGTATACCTACATACACTTTATACGCTAAATTGATGCAGATTTATCGAAGGCTTCATAACACGGGATGGACCGCCTACGAAAATTAACAAGGCATTTATCGAACTGGCAAAATCACAATGGCTCATCAGACTTTCCAAGACATTGCCACCGGGTGTCTTAAATAAATACTGGCCGCCGTGTCCATATTCTTGTCGAGAGGTACGGCATAAGAAAGACCTCGGCTCTCTATATAAAAATTCTCAGAGAAATACGTTGCCCGTAATTATATGATTATTTTGTGAAATTATAATGTGACGTATAATTAAAATATGATTTTATCGTTGGCGAGTTTAGGCGTCGGAGCATTTGCGCGTAATGCACAGGCGGTGGAAAGCCCGTCGTTATCGAATGGCATTAAGCAAGGAGGACAAGGAGCACTTTGAGTTGAAAATTCTCGCGGAGTCTCTGTTCAAGAATAAGAAGAAATCTTACGCGAAAAGTGTGGGTCCGAGATTTGTAACCGATCGTCTCGGCGAGGAGTACAAAGCACTACGACAGAGCTTTATTAACAACGTTTTAACTTCCGGAGAACACATAAAGGTAAAAATCGATTTAATCCGAGAGGAAGAGATATTACAACACTCGTTTCTCTTTTCGCATATATATTTGCAATGAGTTCTATAAAATAGAAATCTCAATTTAAAATATATGCTTTTTTTAGTACGCCACTCCAGTCATTAAATACGATCGACACGGGTATAAGCCACGCGAGAGAGTGCTTATTTTAACGGAGAATGCCGTGTACATTCTCGACACACTTAAGACCTTCAAGCTTAAGCATCGCCTGCCTTACAAGGCTATCGAGGAGTTGGTTGTCACCGGAGAATCGGATAATTTACTTGTCGTTAGGATACCACCCGAATTGAAAAAGGATAAGGTCTTTATACTTAGAATTTCAATACAATTTAATTAAATTTTAATTCTAAATAAAGAAAATTTCGAACTAGTAAAGTAAAAAAATATACAAGCGATTGATAAGTTTAATTTAATAGGAAATAATTTGGTAATTTGATATTTAGCAATTGTAATTGGAATAAATCAAACGTAAAGAATAATTAAAAATTAGAGGACTATTAAATATTTATATTTTACAGGGTGACTTGATCTTAGAAGTTCCGCATATAATAGAAGCGTTAACGAAAGCGATCGATATCACCAACAATCCGAACATTCTCAAGATTGTCAATACCGAATCGTAAGTATTACTTGTCTTTTGTCTTTTCAAGCATTATATTTATCCTATTATTTAGTGATGTATATTCGATTGAAATTTAATTCGACTAATCAATTTGTCGCTTGCTGCTTTTTATTCTACTAATGTACGCAATATCGTGTTCTAGTGTGTCCCACAAACTAGTCAGTGGTAAGGAGGGAGTCATCGAAGTTAGGACCGGCGCCACCCCGGCGATCAGTAAAAATCGACAAAGCGGGCATTTATTAGTGGTGAGGATCGAAATAAAATCCAAAATAATCCTATTCCTCTTTCGAGCAATCATCTCCCCCCCCCCTCACACTTGTGCTAAACCGCTAAATTTCAGGTCGCTTCGCCGTAAAATCATCCCAAAAGGATAACTTTTCGAGGGTCCGGTGCTACGTACGATGCCTAGAGCAGCCTTAACAGAATGTGATTTAGAGAATAACGCAACGGAAAATTAAGAAGAGATAATATATGACACTTTTACCCCGGCGATTTTGTACCTTATCACGAAAAGGGTGATAAAATGACAATACATAGGCCTTTCGTTCCGACGTACAGATTACGTCGAAATCTTGTTATAAATAGTACGAAAGGCATAGAGTGCCATAGGGCCTCCTGTATAATATTTCCTTGTAAATTAGGTAATATTATTAAACGATATTTATTCTGACGGAAAGAAGGATAAAACCGACACTGGATTGGCAAGTTCGCTTGTCAATAATTTATAAAACGTTATTTAAATATAAGTTAAGCTTCAGTTACGTGAGCATAATAAATAGAAAGTCATTTCACTCTTGATCCCTCTTTTCCAATATATAATTTCAAACAGAATAACATCGCTTAATTAAGAGAGAGATATACACAACAATACATACATTATTGATATATGTAAATGTCATAACAATTAACATATCATTATTTCTTCGATTTAGAAGGACCTTTCTTCGTGAGAGTTTTCCTTCCCTCTAAAGCCCTCTCTCGTAAGTCATCCTCCGCCGCAGTGTTGACCGTTTTTGAGATCATCTTCTTCAATTTCTGCGTTTCCTGCAGCTTTGCCTTCTTAGGTTGAACGGGAGCATCTTCGGGAGAAAAGAAAGTATACATTATTAATCTCAATATTAAGGTAACATCATTACGCTCTCAGTTTCGGGAAATTTCTCATTATTATACTTACTTCCACGTCTTTTAACAGCAGGGCCTTTCTTGTTTTTATTGACTTTCGTGACTTTCGTCCCTTTCGCCTTTGCCGGCAGCTTTGTCTTAACTTTGAGTTTTCCCTGTGCCATTATGTGCACTTTATTCACTTGTATGCAAGCTCAAGTTTGTAGATTCAACAAATACAATATTGTTCACGCACTGTAAAAAAAAAGAAAGTAAAAACATTAGACAGGAGCAGAAGAAATCTCTGATATATTAGAATTAGATGAACTAATACGTTAATACAATTATAACATTATAAATAACGGAAGTGTAATATCGATTTATAAAGTATTTTTTTTATATATAAGGCTACACAAAACTAATCGTACATTTTCGCTCGCGATTGCAGAAAATTGCGCACTTACCCACATACAGGTTATGTCACTTGTGTCGCGTCGTTTAAGGCTGATCTGCATGACGCATCATCGTGGACAATTGCATCGGCCAATCAGCGGCCGGAGCACTCGGAGCAGTCGCTGGCGTCGGAGCCCAGAGCGGGGACGGACGAGCGGTGGGGAACAGCGGGAAGGAAGGGAAGCACGAACGCCACGACTGGGGCCACGACATGGACGGTGCGGAACGCGCACACGGAAAGTTTATGAATAGACATGAGAAAGGCGCGCGCGTAACGATGCCGTAAGAAGGCGAGCATTTCACTTTTCGCATATTCTTTCACTCTTCTTTATAAAATAAACATGGCTAATTCTTCCTTTAGAATTATAATGAAGATTCGTCCTCGTGTATATATATAGTCACCGTATTGACTTTTGTCGGTTGATATCGCCATTGTTAATATTATCGCTTATCGTCGAAGAGTACAGAATAATTCGCGAATGTGGCGAATGGCAAAACGCGAGGGAATATTCCATCGCGTGTAAGTAGGAAAATGCACGTAACGTGCGAAGGAGTTACGTGTGTGAAGTTACGTCGAACGCGGCATGGCGGCGGCGGCGGCGGCGGCGTGAGCGGCGTCGGCACGCTAGGGGAGGTGGAGGAGGTGGGCCGTGGCAGCGGGCGACGGGGATCGGAACGTGAGACGAGACCTACGCAGGGAGATGTCGACAAGATGACAGCGGCCGTATGACGACGCTGGCTGGCTGGCTACGCCGTTGCCCGCGCCCGATACGACAGGACAGACAGAGTCGAGGAAACGTCGCTTCGCGCCGGGAGGTGCGTGCGTCAGGTAGCGGCTGCAGCTGCGGTAGGAGTGCGGCGGACGAGGAGAACGAGAGAGAGAGGCTTGACGACATCGTCAACGTCGTCGTCGTCGTCGGCGACGACAGTATATAGCAGAGGTGTTGGTGGTGGCGGTGCCGCGCCCCCGTGCGATGTGCACGACGGCGCGGTGAGGAGGAGAGTGGGCGGTGGGAACCTGTCGAGGAGGAGAGTCGCCGACGAGGAGTGCCGTCGACCGTCCGCCGCGCACGCGCGCGACGTCCGGAGGCATGAGCGTGTTCGGGGACTTCCAGCGTGTCTGGGTGCAGCGGTTCCCGGACAGCGCCTTGCCGGCCGCCTGGGAGGAGGATGTCAGGGCGAACCTGGTCAAGCACAAGCAGAAGGTGAGTGCGAAGAAACCCGTGCGGCTGCGACTCTCCCGGGAGAGGAAAGTAGCGCGAGGACGTTCGCCGCGACGACGATTGATCCAAGTTGCTACAATTCCTATACTGACGATCGCGAGTCCTCGCCGCGAGGACCGTGCAGGTGTGTGCGCGCGCCCTTTGACGGATATATAATTGGCGGAGTGGAGAGAATGAGGATGCATGAAATTAAGGGTGAAACCTTGCGTCCGTCGCAGGCTGGTGGATAGTGTCGCAATGTATTTGCCGAGGCATTTATTAGTCACGTGTGAGCGATCGGTGTATGCACGTACGCCTGTGTGTACGTGCGCGCAAAAGAGGTTTTATTTCGTTTAATTGACATCCTGGAGGGGCCCCGAATGACTCATCGCGCAGGCCGCACGGTAGCCGAGTTTTTTTTCTTTTTTTTTTTAACGAGCCTTTAATCGAGAGCTCCCGGGAGAACTGAATTTTTGAAAGTATAACACACTGGTGGTGATCGTAGATTGTGCGATTGAGGATGCAACCTTGCGTAACGACTGGGTTAAGTGACTGTAGCGAGGTGTCGCAATGTTTACCAGGTATTTATTAGTCAGATCAGAGTTTATACGCGTGTAATTCAAGTAGCGATAGCGAAGAATTCTGTGAGGAAACCACCAGTTGACCGCTGATGTGTGGGGGAGGAGGAGGAGGAGAAGACGAGCAGCGAGGAGAATTCAATTTCTCCGCAGTAAAAACTTAGTCATGTATAATTCAATTAACACCGTGCTCGCATGACTTGATGACTCATCGAATTAATTGTCTGAAATCTGTCAGTGACAGAGCGCTTGTGACATTACAAGAGTAACCGGTGAATTATATCGTTTCTTTTAGCGTTTACAATGAGATCCTGATAAACGAACAAACGTATAAGCGAAAGAAGAGGGAACAGTAAACATTAACTTCCTGTTTGCAACTGTCTCCTGTGTACATGAATCATTGCGGAGTTATCTGTGTCGCGTTATCAGAGAAGACCGAAAAGAAGTACCTAGATTACAGTTATTGCAGTTATTAGGTCGTCATCATTAGGTGCTTGAAACTATTACATATTAATTGATTTTTTTTAAATTTTATTAAAGAGACGTACGGACTTATTTTAAAAATAACTGGAAATTATATAGCCGAGTTTTTTTTTAACGAGCCTTTAATCGAACTCCCGAGAGAACTGAATTTTTGAAAGTATAACACAGAGATAATTGTAGATTGTGCGATTGAGGAGGCAACCTTCAAAATTACGTAACAATTTTTTTTTTTAATTAAAATGTATTTAAAATACGGTTTAATATATTTTCGTAAGAACTGACTTTTTAAAAATATAAAATAGTTTAAGAACATGCGCGATTTATTTTCTACAAAATAATAGTAGAAACTTTTCGAACGCACACAATACATCAAAGCGCGCGACGTATATGTTATTCTTTCTTTGCAGGTGACAGCTTTGAGAGAAGAGCTCGAGAAGGAAGAGTTTTATGTAGAGTATTTGGAGAGATTGCTGGCCGACGTCGAGCGACACAAGCAGCTGGCTAACAATACCAGCGCGAATACGAATACGTCTGAGAATAAACAGGAGGCGACGACGGAAACGCAATTCCTACAGGATTCTCAAGTATCGGAGAACAGCTTGGCGGACTCCGCGAACTCGCCGAGTTCTCAGAACGTCGAACCGTCCGCTCCTACTTTGTCGGAACGGGAAGACATCAGCAAGTTTCAAGACAAGTGCGTGTCCGAATTGAGTTCGACTCTCGGCACAGCTGGCAAGCGACCCAGGAGCGAAATACCAAGGAGTCCCGAGAAAGTGCCTGAATTTAGAAGAAACAGTGATCCAGATGTGCCAAGTAATTATGTTACAGTGATTGAAGTCACCGGGAGCTCGAAGAAAGACAAAAATGAGGAATCTCTCAAGGAGGAGGATGAAAAAGGTACTTTTTCTCTTATATAAATCGTTTTTTTTTTTTTAAGAAACTTTCGGAATTACGTAATCTATATATAATTATTAAGAGAAAGAAAAATTTAAAAAGAAATTATTTAATCTTACCATCTTATACGAACGGTTAAAAGTTAGATTTGCTTTTAAAATTTTATAAAAACGCCAATTTTATTTCAATTTTATGTACAGTCGTGGACATATCGGTTGTGACACTTTTTAAAAATAGATTTTTAGTATATGTTTAATATATATAATATATATTTTATAGGTAACTAATATTTTGCAAATGCGAGCCACGATGGGGTACTATCTTTAATCTAGAGACAGTACACCAATCGTGGTTCGTATTTGCAAAATATTAGTGCGTTTTGAAACCTATTAAAAAAAGAGTGTCGCAACCGATATGTCCACGACTGTACATTATAAATTATTTTATTAAATCTAAAAATATAATAATTATTATTTGTTCGTTAAATAGATTTAGAAAAGGCTATCAACGAAGATGGCGAAGACGGCGATGCAGAGGCATCGGAGGAGGAGCCTTACTACGATTCAGTAGCCTTGGACCAAACTGGCGAATACGTTTACATTGACGCGCGCGTTCCCACTGCCAACAGTAACAATGGCAGCAAGGCGGCAACGCGAAGACCACCCTCGCTGCCAGATTCGCCGGGCAATCAGAGTAATTATGTCAACATCGATTATTTTATACAGTAAGTCGTTCGTCATTTCTCGCTTCATTCTGATTAGAGCATTTTGAAGCCGTTAACCACGCGGAGTACGAGCGGAGTCTAGTTTACATTGTTTTTTTTTTTTTTTTTAAGTTAATGTTACATTTAGTTGAACTCACGCAAGTACTCCCGAGTTAAGGTGTGGAATACGTATGATCGTGTGCATTGCATTTACAGACACAGAGCGGCGATGGACAGCGAGGACGAGGAGGGCGCCAGTCCGGCGCCCCCGATCTTGTTGCGTGCTCTCAGCACGGACAACGAAACCGGCAGCAGTGACGCCGAACCGTTGAGTTTGAGCGAGGGTAGCTTGGAATCGCCGACCCCGACGACGCCGCGCAGACAGGAGAAAAGCAAGGAGCGCGAGGACGACAGGACGTCGATGGTCAAGTGTATCGTGAACTCGGTAGTGGAGAGCGAGGCTGTATACGTGGAATGCTTAACTGTGATGTTACAAGTATGTTATTTGACATTTTTTAAAATTCTCTTAAAAATGAGAGTTTATTCACAATGTTCTCTTTTTCCTCGCCAGTATATGAAAGCTATTAGGGCAACATTAACGACATCTCAACCGGTCATCTCGGAAGAGGAGTTTGGCACGATGTTCTACAAGATCCCGGAACTGCATGCTCTGCATCAGACGTTTCTGGACGGTCTTCGAAAGAAGGCGGAAAAATGGGACAGTAAGACTACTATAGGAGAACAATTTAAGGTACATATAATTAGAGCCTTAAGTCCCATCTATATATATCGCAAACGCAAACGCGGAGAAAAAAGGAAACGTCAAAAAAAAAAAAAAAGAAAAGAAAGGGAGATGCGTTTACGTTTTGCTTTTGCGACTTATGTAGATAGGCCTTTAAACAAAACGTAAAAAAAATTGTAACGAGGGAAAATTGTAATTGTTACAATTGTTGGACTTTCAGATTATGGCCAGTAATATAGGATTATATGGTGCTTTCTTGCACAATTACGCTCGCGCGACCGACACTGTGCGACGATGTTCCGCCCATTCCACTCAATTCGGAGAGATCACTAGAGATATAAGACTCAGGGGTTTCCCGAAGGGCCCGGGTTTATCTCTGGAAGACTTGTTACATAAGCCGGTTGCTCGAGTGCAAAAGAACGCTTTAGTTTTACACGTAAGTAACTCGCCACGTGCATATCTGCGGCGTGTATAATGTAGCGGTGTATTCGATAGGCTGTACGATTTTTTACAATTGATAATATATTTTACAATTAAAATATTTTATATTGAAATATTTTACAATTGATAATCGTGATAATAGGCTAGTACAAATTTTATGTTTGGAAATACACTTCTCGTTACGTTACAGTCTTTTATCTTATCTCAAGTTCTTCAGTGATAAGTTTTTGTGACTTCTAGGATCTTCTCAAGCATACGTCAGTCAACCATGCAGATCATGCGCCTTTATCAGAAGCTCTTGCTATGACCAGGAACTTTCTAGACGAGTTCAATATCATTCAGACAAAGTCCATGTTTCCGGTAACTGATTTCCCGTAAATTGTCTTAATATGTACACTCGTGGACAGAATTGTTACAACACTTTTTTTTTTATTTGGTTTCGGAACGCATTAATATTTTACAAATGCGTACCACGATGTACTATCTTTAGTCTAGAGACAGTACACCAATCGTGGTTCGCATTTGTAAAATATTAATGCGTTTCAAAACCAAATAAAAAAAAGTGTCGCAACAATTCTGTCCACCAATGTACATGTTATATGTATTTTATATACATTATGTAGGTTGTACTCTACTATAAATGATGTTTTTTTTTCTTATGCAGAGTCACGACAGAGCCCAACGAAGATTAGTAAAGAATTCGTTTGTAGTGGAGCTCTCGGACGGTCACAGAAAGCTGAGACATCTTTTTCTTTTTAACGACGTGATCGCCTGTGCGAAGTACAAAGCGTCCGGCAGAGATAAGTTCACGTTCGAATTGAAGTGGTACGTGCCGGTGGCGGAAGTTGCTGTTACGGAAGACGGCATAGAGCCACGTGAAGCCAGCCCCGCAAATGTGGTAGCTTTAAGGTAAATTGAAGAGAGAGAGAGAGAACTAAACACTTATAATCTGCCGCGATATCTATTATTAATGAAGAATAGCGCTTTTATCAATTGTTCTATTGTTAATGAAGAGTAATGCTTTTATCAATTGTAAAAATATTTTATCAGATTAGTCATCAATGTTAATTTTAAAAGAGCATCGGAGTTACCGGAATAACTGGTTATCAAAATAGATTAGTCATCAAAATAAGTAGTAATACACTAATAAAACAAAATGTTTTTTTTATCTGATTAAATATCTGATTGAATTACAAATAACTGGAAAATGATCGGAACAGGTCGCAAGCGTGTACGGTGCGCGATCAAATTCTTTGGGAAGAACGAAACGACGAGAAACGAATCCGACTGGGCGGCAGAGGTTCGGAGAAAAATCGCAAGAAGCTCGCTGAACTTGAGGCTCAGCTGGTGTTAGCCTCGCCGAACTTGGTCCTGCGCGTCGCGCATAAAAGTCAGCAGAATCGAATACAAAATTCTTACACCTTCTTCCTGTCCAGCGAGTTTGAGCGCTCCCAATGGGTAGAGGCGGTGGAGGCGTTACAACAGGTCAGTGAATCTCTCATTAAGATTATATAACTAATTCAATTAAGGATATGATTTATAATTGATTACGTATATATATTACAGTCTGTTATGCCATATCTGATTGAAAGCTTATATTCTTTATAGGGCGGACAGCCTCCAGGGCAGCTGCCATTGTCGATGTACGAATTACAAGCTTGGGTTACCGCCTGTCGAACATATCTGCAGACCGATATGGGCAGCTATCTGCTGAGATCAGGACGCGACGAGAGCTTGCTATTGGGTGATCTTCATCTGACGCTGCTCGGTTTGACTCCGCCAGGCTTAGACAGAGTGGGTGATCTCTATATTATCGTGGAAGTCGACAGCTACGGACACTATTTCAAGAGAGCGCGAAGTCGCATCGCCAGAGGTCAAGCACCGATTTGGGGTGAGAAATTCTTCTTTGCTTCTGTTTTATAGGCTTTTGAAATTTTTTATATTACAATAGATTGTTGAGGTTTTGAACTTTAATTAAATTTTTCTTTCTTCGATACACACAGGCGAGACTTTCGTGGTAGAGTTAGAGGGTAGCCAGAACGTTAGAATTCTGTTGTACGAGGAATGCGGCACACGCTCGGTATTGCGAGGCAAGTGTATTCAGCGGTTGAGCAGATCTTGGCTTCAGTCTGATCAGGTGGAGAGGTCGCTGAACCTGGGACCTTCGACGTTGGACGTGGCGCTGCGTTTTGTTCCCAGCGAGGTCACTCTGAGGCGAGTGCCGTCGGCCAAGCCGCAGGGCCTGTTCGGCGCCAAGATCCAGCAAGTTTGCAAGTACGTGCGATTTTTTTATTCGAATCAGAACGGTTAGAGAATTAAAAGGTGTCTTTTCCCTTCTTCCTCGCTGAATTTTTAATTAGGAGAAACTAACTAGATATTTAAATCACAAATAATTCGCAAGTGAAATGAATAGAAAGTTATTTCTTTTTAATGCAAAGTTTCTCCGATTTCCTCGCTTTATTTATGAAATATATTAAAACTTTTTTTTAAACTGGACTTGTTAGTAATTATTCTCTCGCGATTTTGCAGACGAGAAAAACGCGACGTGCCTTTCATAATAACGGCATGCGTGCGAGAGGTGGAGAGACGTGGCGTCGGCGAGGTAGGTCTGTACCGCGTTTCCGGCTCGGCGTCCGATGTGGCGAGGCTACGCAAGTCGTTCGAAAGCAATTCGTACGAAGCGGAGCAGCTACTTAAGGAGGTACGTTTGTGACATTTCTCGTAATAGTTTATAGCAACAGGATTTCTCTTATTGTGTTACTGATGTTTCCGTATGCGAACATCGTGGATGTGCAGGTGGACGTGCACTCGGTGACGGGCGTGTTAAAGCTGTATCTGCGTGAGATGCCGGAGGCGCTGTTCACCGACGCCCTTTATCCGGCATTCCTGGAGGCCTTCCAAACGGGCGATTTGTCACGGGGCACCGCCCTGCGCCGTGTTTACGAGGGCTTGCCCGCCGTCAACAAGGCGGTGATCGACTTTCTGCTGGCGCACCTGGCCCGTGTGAACAAGCACGAGGCTCAGAACAAGATGTCACTGCACAACTTGGCGACGGTGTTCGGTCCCACGTTGCTGCGACCCGGCACCAGTAACTCGCGCAGCGACGCCAAGAGCCGCGATCCCCTCGCCGCCGGCACCGTCGACGTAATGGCGCAAGCTGGCATTCTCTACTGCTTCCTGCAGTTACATTTGCAACAACAAAACAATCAATCTCTCTAGTCGACAAAGTCCCCCTGATCCTGAACCGCGATTAACGTTGCAACGTTCGATTTGAGATCGATAGATAATCGGCAATGGGAACGCGACCACACACACTTTCTTCCTGACGAAGCAAACGCCGAAAAGACGACGTAATGGTGTCTGAAGAACAGTCGGAATTCTCATCTCGGTATCGTTATACTTAATCTTATAGTCTATTTCATTTATTCAATTTCAAAGTTTTGTTTTTGTCATATTTTGTCATACCGTATTACATCATTTATATTTTATATATATATATATTATCAATGGTTCTAATTTGATTATGATTATAATATAATGTATATATAATTTAAATGATATTATATATACATTATATATGTATTAATTAACGAATTATTGCATCAAATAATGGTTTATAATTAATTTTCTACATAATTGAAGCCAGTCAAGTTTTCGTTTAATTAAAACTTTTAATTTTTATTTGCGTTAAATACAATATAGAGTTAGTTTTATCGATTTTCAATGAAATGAGTTTAACTAAATTTTTATTTTTATTTTTTTTATTAATATGATTAATTAAATCGGGTAAATAATCATCAATTTCCGTCCTTCAAACACCCGTCAGATGTCTTTTGTATTGCGCGCTGGCACAACAATCCATTCGGATCGTTGGTCTTTTATAGACGCTAGTTTCGCGTGACGTTTCTCTTTTCGCGATCCTGAGGTAGAGCCTGGAAATATGTTTAAACGAATAGAGCGGCTTCGATGAAACCCTCCACATGAGGATCAAACTCCTATAACTCCATATGCGTGCAAAATAATGTAGCTGAGCTGCTCTTATAGAACATATATAAAGCGTAATATTAATAATAATATATATATATACATATATCTTTTTACTTTTGAGGTTTATAATATATTTTCTACTTCGTATTGTCTGAGCGTAACAGTCGCTCGCGCGCAATCAAATTGATGACCTTTCCTGAGATTTTTGAGATGAAGAAGAGCGTGTAATGTGGTGCAGAAATTTCAGGTGAGAAATTGGCCAAAGAGAGAATTAGATAAGTCAAAAGGAATTGGTAAAAATGTTATATTACATTTGTATATTGAAAGTATCTTGAAAATTTATAAAAGGAAAAAAAAAAGAGGGAAATTCGTTAAAGAGTGAGAGTCTTTTAAAAGAGGGTCTAAAATAATAAATTTTGTATAAAGTCTGAGATCGAAGTTTTTTTTCTAAAGCCTGAAATTTGTGTACTGGATATGCAATCTGTGCTCTAGGAAATAAGTACTTTTTCACGTGACGTGTGTTCCTAGCAGAGAATCTAAATCTTTTTATACGAGCCCTTTTGTATATCCGTTGTAGGAAGCAACTTATCGCCCTGAATAATATGGATACCGTACTCTCGCAGAAACATTCAGGAGAAAGAAAGAGAGAATATATTTGTTCTTCCTTGGAGATCCTGTGAAATTCATGGAACGACGTTCCTCATAATGTGTGCAAAAATCTGTTATACATGTGTAATAATCGTCCATTCCATTTGCTCGAGTTCTCTACGAAGAATCGAATTCAACAGATCGAATCTTCGCAAAGAAGCTCAGAGTTTTGGTCCAAAAAGACATATGACTGCAAGAGAGAGGCCCTCCTTATTCCGTCAAAGTGGTATTTTTCGACAGTAATTTTGATTGAACGTGAGTTTTCTTTTTATTATCGTCTAACTGCAGCTTAATGAGACGCCAAAGAGAAAGGTACGTTCCCACGTGTGTAGAGTGTTACGGAAATGGTGGTTTATAAGAAAAAATGCAATTTTTTACGAAAAAAAAATACAAAATAAATTTTTTTCTTGTACGAGAGACTATAGTTTTCTCGAGAAAACCTATATTTAAATCAAATTTTCAGTCAACTTTTTTCTTTTTTCGAGTTTTAAAATTAATTTTCTTGAGAAAAAAGTTTGCGAGAAAGGGATTTATACATCGTGAAGCCCTTTTTTTTTAACAAAATACTGCCAATTTATTAGATCAATCCATCAAGACTTTCGGAACGCTCTATGCGCAGTAGGAAAGAATATACTGTAGTTGATAATGAGAGACAAAACACAAACACGCGAGTTTGGCGATACAAGTTAACGGGGCACAGAGTGTCTTGCGTATTATATGCCAAGCCGTCTAGTTTGCAAATTATATAAAAAAAGAAAACGAACAAAAAAAAAGAAAGAAAACGAGCCAAGTCTGACGAGAGTGTTCGATAAAAACGAAGATATATAAGAAGTATTAAATTGTTTATGCTCGAACAAAGTAGGCAACTATTATATCTCGTGCGTATGAAGGCAACCGCGTGCGTGTTTGTGCTTGTTTGTATGCGTGTATAATCCCCCTTCCGCCCTTCTGCCCCGTGTATGTATTATACCGTAAAAAGAAATACCGCATATACTAAGATTTTTGATATCGTCGTTTTTTAAGGAACGTCCGCCTTTTTTTTTTGTACATTGATACGAAATGTAAAAACGAGTTTCCTCGATTATTATTTGTGTTATTATTAATATTATTAATATTATTATTACTCCATATTATATATAGATATATATATATATGTATATGACAATTATCGCAACTATTTGTTGATTTGATCAAGCTAGCTTGTTCGCAGCGAAATGCGTACTGTACTGCCAAAAAGTGAAGAAACACACTTAAAGTGGACAAATATACTGAAGGTTTATAAACTTTTACACATCGATTGGATTCTTTGGATTTTTTTTTTACATCTTGCCTCGATGCCGTCGGTCCAAGTTTCATGAAATCCTTTTACAAACATCTAACGATTAAGTATTGTCATATCAAACGAGGTACACTGCCAAGAGTTAAGCGTCGCAATTTTAGAGAAGATTTCGAAGAAGCAACAGGTAACAGCTAAATTTGATATGCTCTGAATTGGAACTTTAATTACTTGTATGTTCCCTTGAAATTTTCACACAACGGAATGATCGAATAACTGAAATGTTGTAATCAGTCATTATTCACATCTGATCCGAGATCTCTCGCTGGATTGAAGATTCCAGGCAACTTCTGGCTGGCGGTGACAAAGGCAGTCTGACGGGTGTCGCCGCGATGTTGTCCCACAGGCCAGGTAATCGGGAGCCATCGGAGCCGTTACACTGCATCCCTGACAAATCAATTAAGAGATTGATGAAGAAAAAGGAAGAGAGAGTTTTACGATACACGCAGGAATTGAAGATTATTGTAGAGGTGTACTAAGAATAATTTCATTTGTTAACCATTAAAATATTTTTTCCTACATCAGTGGCGGATCCAGAGAGTTGTTCTGAGGGGGGAGGGGGGGCGGTATGACAAAATGTGAATATTTAATTATTATTGTCGTTAATGTTATTTTTAATATTTTTAATTATTTAAAAAAATTGAGTGAACATTATTTAGTCTCAAATCTCTGATAATTTTTTTTCTCAATTTATTTTAAACCGACTTTCTAATATACGAAATTTGTTTGGAGAGCTCTGGGGGGAGGCAATCGTCCCCTCCGCCCTTTGTATCCGCCACTGTCCTACATCGTCATATTGAATTAAAATTAAAAAGTCATTTAAAATTGAAAAGATTTGATGAAGCTTTGACGAATCAAAATCACTGAAGTCCAAAGACACGCGATGATTTTTGACTGTCGATCGAACCTAAAGGCGCAGCTTCGTAGAGATCGTGAAGAGCTTCCACGCGGACCTTGGTCCATTCGATACTCTTATAGTTCGCCGAGATACCCTTTTCCGAACTGGTCCCTTGACTTTCCCATTCTCGCATATAACGGAAATACGTCCGCAGCGCATCGTCGCTTATGGCACTCTTGCACACCTAACATAGAATTTCGGCAGTTTTAGTGTTACACAAATGTTTTTTTTCTCATGAATCCGTGCGAACGATTAAATTTATTCACTTTATTTCTCTGTTCTTATTGATGAATTTTAATTTACCTCTAATTGCGCGTTGGGATAGTAATGAACGTAATTAACGCACATCTCGTCGGATATAGCGAAACCGCCAAGAGTCACGTTGTCTCTTTTTATAGTATTGTAAGTGCATGTAGTTATCAGGGAATCCCCCTATAAATTATTCCGTTTTCAATAGGATATTCGACTGTTTCTTATTATCTTATTATCTTTAGTGTTTGATGTTTGAAAATAATATCTATTTAATGTATTTAAATATTTTAAATTATTTCACTTCTCATTTATTATCTGCTTTATTTTTATATTCGTTTGTTCAGTTAATTTGCTTACAGGCAGGACGGTCACCGGTTTCGGCAGCAATCTGATCTCCTGGAAATGAGTAGAGTAATGATTGTCATAGTTCAACGGCGGCAACTCTTCGCCGTCCCTCATATGACGGGTGATGACTTTGGTACCCGTCAGATGAGTGTGCAATTGAGAGCCGAAAATGCGAATGCCACTTTGGGGCAATCCAACTCCGGTGCATTCCGCTATGCAATGGCCGGATAGCATAAAGGCTTCCTGAAAAAATTAATGTGGCCTGATTTTTCTAAATTTAAAGATTGCAAAACTTCATTTTTTTTTAAAGAAAAAGTTTTCAAAATCTTAGACATAAATTTGAGATAAATTAAATGAGTTTTAAATAAATTTAATCGGATTAAGACTTGTATATTTATAAAATTAAAAGTGCATTTATCTAAATAATTTTCATGTAAAAGATATTTATATAAATGTAAAATTGTAATTGCAAACTTTTTTGTTCAGATTACTAACTATATTTATTTAGTGCACTAGCATAAGCAATTTCTCAAAATTTGTCGACAAATTTCTCAAAAATTAGAATCAGTTTTTTTCACCTGTTGCGGGGGTATGGCCATCTTATCGGTGTATTCGAGGCCAAGCTCGATTACACCAGCATCGTACTTTCTGAGGGTCTTTGTGAGAACAAATCGTATTCCAGAGGAGTCGACGGTGCCTTGGTGCAGCTCGGGATTATTATAATGTACCTCCAACATGATATACGGATTGAAATCGGTTCCGCCGATGGATAGACCAGCTTCTTCCGGATAGACGAACGCGTCGGCACCCATGGCCCATGCTGCCAACACCTTCTTGCAGATCTAAATGATTTAAAATGAGTATCACTGAGCTAACTTTGAAAATTACGATCGAATTTTATTCTCAAGAAAACAGCATTCTCAATGCCTTGTTATTAAAAATCAATAATATATTTTGTAATTGAGAACATAGACTAATAAAGTAGAAAATGAAAAAGTTATTTTCTAATTTTGAAGATTTCAGTTTGAAATTTTTTATTTTAATAGCAGAAGATGTTCGAAGTAGTTTAAATTCTTAATTTTAACGGCGCAAAATTTTCTAATTATTAACAAATACGATATTTGCGTAGGTACCGTGTCACGAGAAGACAACTACCTGCGTTTTTTCGGGTCTATCTGCTCCGTCGCAAGGCCCGTCGTACATTGGCACTTCTAGATCTACAGATCCGGCGCAATGAAAGACTTCCATGTGATGTACAAGATGTTCGTTTCCCGCTTGAATAGCGGGGCCAAATTGTAGGATATGATGCCTGCCAGTAAATATAATATTTCTCTATTTATATTTATTAAATCTTTAGAATAAAGAGTCCAGAATAAATTCGTACAAAAGCATTAATTTAAATGGAAAATCTAAATAGATTCTGAATTGACCAAAGAATTCTGAATAAAATAATAAAAAATATCAGATTTTACTAATTTATTGCATATCATAATACGCACTTCTGTCTTAGTACTGACGGCAACTTGTGCACGCGACACCAATAGGTAGTCTCCTGTTTCGGCACTTGAACCCGATGGGCGAGTAACTCGAGTTGCCAGGCATTCGCGGGGAACTTGGGCTTCTTATGGGACACCCTGTTTAACTCCGTGCGGGACATGCCCGACGCTTTCGCGTCCGATATCTCGAGACCGGCCAAGGACGACAGCGGTCCACGACCGCGGAGCCACACCAGGTGCGTCGTGCCTCTCTAAAAGCGAACATTTCATCCTAACTTCTTATGACTTTATTCTTGGACAAGGACATTTCTCAGCTGCGACATGTGGATTGATGGCTCAAACGTTTCGTTTCTCGCCCTTGCATAAAGCGTTCGAGCTTAAAGATCTCGACTCTTTCTTACGATTCAAGTCTTCCGATAATTATTAAGTATGTCACGATATATAATGACACGATTCTTTTAGACGCTTAAAAATTTTCATAAGTCACATAAATATGTATAGTTGTATTCACCTCAATGATATAATCATGCTCGTCGCAAGTGTCGAATTTGCGGGAGAATGTAAACTTCGTGATATTACCGCGTCTTCTCCACGCGAAATTCTCGCAATCCTGTTGGGTGTCCAGATGTAATTTCCCATCGGCATCCGCCCACGAGTCCTGCCGATTTGTTGGCGAGGATAAGATCAATGTTTTATATACAACGATTTAATACTTTACATCATCGTATGTCTTACTTCAAGATGAATTTGTTGGTGCCAATCGGACCATAAGACGCAGTAATCAGCTGGTTTTAGTTCTCCATAGTCGGAAAATCCGATCGCGAACCAGCTGCTTTCATTGCCGACGTAATGAACCTCCGCGATCACTAGTTTATTCATTAAATCGACTCTAAAAAGTAACGACAAGTTGAGAAAAGTTTCTAGCAATTATAACAATGTAATTAAAAAAAAAAATTCGAAGTGCTCCCGTTAATAACACATTAAAGCTTAGAAATTCACATTGAAATCCAGCTAATGACTGGAGTTTTGTCAATTAGAAATGATTTTGCTAATAAGAATAACGATAATATAGACGAATTTTTAGAGTGTATTTGTTACATTACTTTTAAATGTATATTATTTTATTGATACGCATGTCGCTGATTTGATAATTGTACTTGTAACCGTGTCTGTACAGGCATCGTAGTTAATTAGAATAACAGCAAGACAATAAATAATAATAATGATGATCACAGTCTTCGAGCAGTTAAAAATCGAAAAATGAATCATAAATGAGTGAATCGTACACACATATGGTCAATTTACACACAAGTTTTAAGATAACTAAGATTATATGGCTTTTCTGCAGACGGGCGATTATAATGACGAACGATGGAAACCGCACCTCCAATGAAAAGTCACCTCCGAGCCGAGCGGAATCGTATGCACCGCGTTTCCGTCCACATTTTCACTGATCGAGGAATCGCGCCGGGACCAACCCGAGTGGATGCCTGCGAGAACGACCAGCAGAAACAGCATCATCGTTACCATAATCAAATCCTCTTTAAATCTCCCTACGAAACGATCCAGCGAGTAAACTCGAACTTTGGCTCCAATTTGGATTTTTGTTAACTCGAATTTTGTACCGAATTTATTCCGATTTTTCGAATGTCGTTTACAAGAGTTTTACAGGGTTGTATCGCGGAGTCTGCGAAGGATAGATCTGTACTGAGGATCCTTCCCGTTTCGTATCTCGCAGAATTCCGCGCTTGCGGGACGACGCAGGATGCGCAAGCTCGAGGAAACTGGTTCGTAGATCGGACAGCCCCTTACATTTTATCGAGGACTGTTTATCACCATTATTTTTCTTATCCATTCCAAAAATAAAGGTAAATATTAATTTAATTGATAATTCAAATTTTGTTTACAGTATATTTAGATATTAAATATTCGTATTTCTGTTCAGCATTAAACACATGATACGCTTTTCAAAAAAAAGAAAAATAAGACAATTTAATTTGTTTAATGTAAATTATTTTTTTTTTACGGATATTGCGATACAAAAGAACATTCTCGCGCTTTTACGAAATGAGTTAGCTTTGTTGACTTATTCGAAATTATAAATTTTGTTCCGTTTCTGTTTTAAACATTCTAAACTGTAATTTAGAATGTAAATAAATGCAAAATATCAAATGTAAATAATTCAAAGAGATAAGGTTTTGATTTTAAAGTAAAATTAATTTACATTAACGTAATCTTATTCTAAATTAATTAGAAAGACGGCGACAATTTCCAATAACCTGATAAAAGAGAAGGGAATTAACTATTAAGATTGCCAATTTAGAGCGTGTTATATATATATATATATATATATATATATATATATATATATATTGCGTGTCTTGAAACTTTTGGAAGATTTTTCAGAACAGGTCGCGACAAAGTCTTCAATTTTTAATCGCTTTAAATTCAAAAGCCAAATATCTTGACATTTTATTTGATTATAAATAAATTATTAGTAACCTTATCGCTTAAGAATTTTTTTATACTAAATTTATAAATATTAATATTCGTTTCAAAGACAAATTTTTTCTTTTCTACTTTTAAATTTAAGCAGATAGAGGAAAATTTATTTCAGATTGATCGAAGAATCTGCGATTAGAATTGAGAAGGGTCTCTTAGGATACCCTACGTAGAGAAAGGACGTCTTCATATATACGAATACATTCCAAGGAACTTATATTGCATTCCATTTGCAGAGCGTGCCTTACGACTGGACTGCAATCAAGAAATTCCGCGGAACTTATTGCGGCCGAGACTCTTTATTGCGCGTTATTAACGAAAACAATTCATGCGAGGGAAACAAATTTTAGGAATGTCGATGAGGTATGTGAACTATTTTTTGCTGTAATCAGCATTATATCCCCTCTGCAATAGTAAAAGCAATCAGACGTGTAAATTTTCACATATCGAAACGATTAGATTGTTATTATGTATACTAGAATTGTATTTCGAAAATTTCAGTATCGCGAAACTCTTATAAACTAAATATTTCGTAATAATTTTTATATAAATATATTGTTTTAACTTTTACAAAATTTGTCCTTTTCGAATTACAACATAATACATTTGGAATAGACAACTATTTAAACTTAAAGAAACTTTACCGTTTTTTAATTGATCGATCGAATCTGCGTTCTAAATATTTTATACACTATCGTCAATAATCGCTTCATCACGACGCGCCTATAAAGCGCCTACGGCGAAACAGTTGCCCTCGTTCAACAATTAAAGCTGTCAATTAGAATTATAGCTTGTAAAACTGTTACGCACGCAGTAAATTATTGAAAAATAAATACATAAAAGAATTCATTTTATGTTTTATATTTAAAAAATGTCGACAACATTTATAAACGATAATAAGATAACATATGAAAAATTTGGGTTTGTAATTTCTTTATCATTGTAAAAATTCTTCTTGGAGTTAGTGCAGAATATTATTTGTCTGACTTGTCTGAACTTTTCACATCGAATTTTTCCGAATATTAATTACATTCTGCTGCATTGATGTAAAAAATATTATATAATTGAATAATATTCTATAATTTTTGCTCAATTCGATCATTACATCTTTCGTCATTTTTCAGATGTATTTCCCAAATCCTTGCTTGGAGTAAAGTCAGTGGCCGGATTCTCGGGACTCCTCATGTGACCTACGGGTGCGTTTAACCATCTTTTTTGCACTCTCAACTTTAGTCACCGCTTTCGACGCTTCAATGTCAGGACGCTGACGCGGCCCAACGACACATCTATAGTGGGGCACGGCGAATTGATGATGACGATAGGACGGAGAGGAAGGGGAGTGGAAATACTACTGACGGCCAGCTGGCAGCGAGTCCGTCGGCAGTCGGGTGAGACGAGCGCTCACGCTTGGATTGGAGTGTCGGAGCGGCCAGTCCGGAGCACACGTAGACCACACATACGCGCGAGGAATGTAATCCGTGCCCGATGATCCATCAGTTACCTGTGTACGACGCGCTGCAATTCAGACTGCCAAATTTCATCCAGGGTAGTAAGGGTGAGGTAAACGGGGGGGGGGAAGGGGGCGTGAGCGGATGCAAGCGAGTGAGTGAGTGAATCACGCGAAAGCCACGTGGGCCTCCATCACGTGGCAAAATCGGCTGCAAAGATGGAAAATCCCGAGCGGAAACGCGCGAAAGTAATCCTTGCAAGAAATTGGAGCGAAATATGTGTCATAGAGTTACGTAGAAATTAAACGAGCAACAAACTTTCTCTACTTCCTCCAATTCCGGCAGTTGGAAAATTATTGTCTAGAAAGCGTTCTGAAGAACGCATCGACTGTTACTCCGGATTCCGGAATATTTAATCGATTGATTTGTTTACGGTTATGAACAATTTTAAAAATTTAAAAGATAAAATATAAAAAAATTACTAAGAATGAATGTAAAATGTGAATAGCAAAATTTTGTCGATTTTTTAATTAATTCTTTTCCTCAAAATAATTTTTGCTTTACGATCTTATCATAACGTTTCTTGTTTGCGCTGCATTTCCGAGATTCTTGCGTGTTCCGATATTTCCGTGATGTCGAAAGCATTTGAATGCGTAATATTAATTCGCGCTTTGATGCATAATAAATCGCTCACGTAATATTTTTACGCACGTGGCGTGCACGAGGTCGTTCTATCCGTCGCAACTAGGCTTCGACGTATATAAAAATTTGCATATAACAGAATAATTTTTTTCTGCACTATGGTGGAAGGATTGAATATATTTGATACGCTACTGTGATAAGTCTACAGCACTCCTTCCTGTTGATAACGAGGACGTTTTTAAATCGCTTATCTGCGAACAATTCTGTAAAACTGGCGCGCGCCCCTTAAAATTCTCCTTGCGCCAATAAATCAATTCACGATGAAACATTTGCACGTTTGTTTAGACTTTGCAATGAGACAATTGATTTAACACTGCTCGCCGACTCTGTTTAAGACTATCGTTTCTCCTGTTCCTCTTTTCTTATGTAAATTTACCTTATGTGCAGGAAATTATTTTGTCGTGCGATATGCACACCCGTGATAAAAGAAAACGCGTTAAGTGACGCGTTTAGTTTTATCGTATCATTTGTCTGTCCTTACGCTAAGTCACCAGGCACAAAACGAAGCGATAAGTTTTAACCCGATGACGCGCAAACCACTATTTGCGGAGTGTTTCGCAACTCGCAAATATCGCAACGCTTTGAGAGATCTCGTCTGCGATAGAGCATACATGTGTGTGGGCGGACAATTATTATTTTTAGATTGTTACTTGACGCGCTCCGAGCTGCATTCTTGTTTCTATCTTTTTTTTTTCGCGCCATTTTTCACAGCTTCGACAGCTTTTGCATGCATTATTCTAATTAAGCAGAAGTAAATCAACTCTCGAGATTGGACTTCTCATTTCCAAGAAGAAGGAAACGAGCTTGCCTTATGGGCGCAATCATATGTCCTCGCACAAACGCCGCTTTGATCCGTTGAAAGTTAAAATCGTGTGCAATTTTAGTATGCGCGAAAAAAATGTATAGTTATCATATTTCACGAGGAGCGCAACCTTGGTTGAAGATAAGCGATTACGCAATGCGGCATATAACGATATCGATAAAATAATTAGTAAGTGCACGACGATGTCCTCTAAAGAGTCTAATCTTGAGCGATAATGAACGCGACAGCTTTATTCTTCATCTTCGATTTGCAAGAGACTAATCTGACAGCAATTTCCTATCTCTTCCATAAATTATTTATACTTATCGAACTTCCATGACGAATGCATTTGTCACAAAACGTAAAATATTAAATTGTTCAACATGTAAGTTTTATAATTGATTTTTATTGTTATTTCTGAGAAATATGAAAAAAATTGTTCGCATTATTATACGTTTTTTCATTTCCATAAGTAATAACTTTACGAAAGTCTACGGCAGAAGAACGCTCGAATTATATTTTAATATACTATCGAAAGGAAAAGAGAGATATTTAAGATATTCTATTCCTGAAAATTTATATGAAAAATTGACATGGATCGATACGTTGACACAGTTGCGTTACACACGATAGATTTAGAATAGAAGTTAGATAGAATGTAACTTAGAATAGTTAGATAGAAGAGGGTAAAGCCAAATAAAGCGATTTCTTCATTGTTGCAGGGACAGGAAGGGAAGTGCAGCTAGAGGCGATCCTTAAAGAAGCGCCATAGAAAGCCCGCGGCGGATCAGGCGTCGGTAATCGATGGGTTGAGAACGCTCTTTGCCCTTTTTTTCTTTTCTTTACCAAAGTGTAGCTTATCGATGAGCCATGCTGAAGGTGGTCGGAGCCTCGTGGCTGCAGACGCGCATCTCCACCTACATCCTCGTCGCCGTCGCTCTGCTCGGCATCGGCGCCATTATCCTCGGCGAATACGGATAGTGAGTCGGCACTGATTTTTTTTTAAACTCGAACAATCTCAGATAATCATGTGCATCGAGGATAGATTTTTTTCAATGTGTTTACTAACAGACGCTAGTAGATGAAACATTAATGTGCGTGTGCGATACACACATTAATTATAGATTCCTCTTTTAGAAATTTAGAGAACATTATTTAGTTGATCTCAGTAAATTTTTTTAAATAATGCTTTTGCAGTGTTGAGAAAGATGGAACCTACTCGGCTACTGTATCGTGGAATCACAAGGGAGGATATCGCATCGACTTTTGGGGTCAAGGCAACGACCTCGCTGATGTGCGATTGAATGCTGCCCGTGCCTATTACAAGACCGGCATATATGAATCTGGGTAAGTCGATGTCATTGAGCAGACGAAATGTACAGTTTCTGTAAAGATATTCACTTTTACCGGTGTCACCAGAAGAACACGAAACTCCGAAACAGATTATTTCTAATCTTGGTTAGTAAATTATTTTTTATCTCATTTTTTAATTTATTTTATATCAGTAATTGATATTATATAAAAAATATATATGTGTATGTTGCACATTTTTTACATGTCTAATCATGTGATTAAAGCGATTGGATATATAGATGCCAAGATGGCAGACATATAGCAGTTCTTTTCCCGGATGGTTCTAAATTTACGATCTTGTAAATAGCCGTATAAATATCTTTCGAATGTAAATCGAAATCCGTAGAAACCATACATCCGCCTCATGGATACTTACATCGAATCGGAATATTCTGCAGATTTCACGTACGATGTGTAATTAAAATAAGCATGGCGAATGTATTCCAGATGGTCTATCATCGAAATAGAAACGTCGTCGAAGTACCCGGACACCGTGCAGGCTTATGCGGCCGGTTTGTTAGAGGGTAGTCTGACATGGCAAATGATCCATCATCATTGGCATAATACCGTTAACGTTGTTTGTGAGAAATGGGCAGATGAGTGCCAGAAACTAATGCAATTCCTTCGCGAGAATACCGTCATCGTCCGCGAACGTGCCGAGCGTTTAGCAGAAACGGATCCATTCTGGCACATGGTAAATAGCAAATGTGAATTGCAAGATTGAGGATCAGAACATGGAATATTCTTTAAATCCATTAAAATGTTCAATACGTAAATTTAATTTTCTTTGTTAAATTTACTTTTATTTATTTTATTGCTTTTAAATAAAAAAAGGGTCAATCAGTAATTGCATATAGCCTTAAAATTGCATAAATAATTGAAACGGAATATTTTAAATTTATTTTCGCGATTTCGAGAATACATATTGAATATGATTGTAAATCGCTATTATTTTCGATCGCAGGTGCGGCTGTTCTATGTTCAACTGGACGGTCTGGAGGCTGGCTGGAAGTTCGCGGTTCGTCGCAGTCGGCAGACGGTGGAAATGAACAAGGAGCATTTCCTCTGGCTGGCAATGGCTGCAGATCTACCGGATCTCGAGCGAGTGCTGAACGGTTCCGAGTCTTATCGCGACTACATCAAAGGCATGATTTTCCTGAAAAATCTACCTCGTGAAGGACAAAATCCGTTGGTAGCTATTGGACACACCACTGCTGCACCGTAAGTTATCGTTATCCCGTATGTATATACATTTTTCAGTAAGATTCGTCATTTTTAATTTTTATGAAGAAAAATAAAAAAATTAATTAAAAATAAGGAGAATTAAAAAGGAAATGCGCTTAAAACATAAAGATATGTGTAAAAATTGCTTTTATATCAAAATGTAAGGAGAATAACTTCTAATCTCAATTTTTGCATTTTACTGCTGCGAGGAAGATCAAATGTGGGTATACTGTTGTATTAATTAATAAAATCGGTTTTTTTTTCAATTACGAGGCATATCGAGCTTATCCTCTCTCACATTTTTCTTACAGATATGCTAAAATGTTGAGGTTGCTGAAGAAATATACTTTTGGTTATCATGTACTGCCGATCTCGAAAACTCGACCGACCTCCACGTCAGTGCCAAGCAGATCTATCATAATGTCATCTTACCCTGGTGCTCTGTCATCTCACGACGAGTTCTATTTGACCCAAGGAGAGAATCACGAGCTGATTATCGCTGGTACGCCATTGACAATGACCAATCGCAGTCTATGGAATTTTATGAACGCAAAGGATCAGGTGAGCAAAACTTTTTACACTTTGCTTTTTATAATTTTAACTGATTACAGATATATGTGTATTAAATACGGTTGTCACCTCTCCGGTTTTTGCCCGGAGATCCCGGTTCATTTGAATCTCCGACTCTCCGGCACACGAAAAAAAATTTTCGGGCGAACGCTTTAAATTTTGATTTTGACCTTTTTTTGGGGAAAGTACGATGACATTTTTTTGCTCAATGATGGCAAAGAATTTTCAATAGTATGATCAAAATTTGATGACCTTCCGGCACAATACTTCTTAGATGACCGTGGTATTGAAAAATATTTCATATTTATATAATACAAGAATTTATATTGCTATAATTGATTTATTGCAATATATGCGGAGCTATATATGATGTGATAAAATATGAAAAATGATATAATTTTTTAATCTTTTTCTATAGTCTATTGTGTTTTTTGTTAACATATTAAAAATCAATTAACTTCCTTTCCTTCTTTTACAGGTGATGTCATCCGCGGGGGTGATGGCGGCGAATCGTCTGGCGATAAACGGAGAGTCCTGGTCTCGCAGCATGTCGTTGCAAAATGGTATCGATGTAGCGCGGCAATGGGTCACTTTGGAACCGCGTAACGGCGTCGTCTGGCTTGTCGAGCAACTTCCGGAGCTCGTTCGCACGGCGGATATCAGCGAGCAGTTTGCTGGCGCTGACGTACTTTGGGCCATCGGTGAAGTTCACCTTGCCGAGACCAACGTGGTGATCAATGAAAAGGAGAACAACGATATGGCAAAAAGCGAGCCAGTAGTGAGATTGCAGAGCAACATTACTACGACGGAACACTTTAGGAGGCTGATGCGAGGATACAATCACGAGAAGTCCACCATCAAGAATGAAGATTCGGCACAGATTTTAACCAACAGAGAAGACCTGGAGAGAGTTGATCTACCGTTCGGTATAATCGACATGAAGATCGTCCTGGCTGACGCTGACGGTGTAGAAAGTTTCGAAGTCACTTCCGGGCCGAGCATGTTGGATAACACGCAGCCCTTCCGATGGTCGACCACTTTCCCTAACATCTCGCACGTCGGGCAGCCCGATCTCTTTGATTTCGCCAGCGTTACTCCTCTGTGGGTTTGGATCTGAGCGCGATCATTTAAATATGTAAAAATAACAATATTAGTAATGACGAAAAGGTAACTTTTTAAATTTTTATTAGAAACGAACAATTAATCAATAAACTTGATGAACCGGAAAGAAATTATTTTTGCTTGATTCGATCATATATAGTAGCTTTTCGGTTTTTCATTTTAATGCTTTTGCTGAATTCTAAATTTTTAATTTGAAGAAACAGCTGGCTCATATATTAGCTACCTACCGTGTGAAATTTTTAGAAAATAAAATGAAGTAAACATGAGCTATGAAATATTTATTTTCATTCCTTCGCGATCATTTCCTTCCTTTTTGTTTCAAATAGCAAGAGTAGTAATTACAGATAATTAAAAATAAAAAGAAAGTATCTAATAATCATTATTAGTTACTTTCTTTTTATAAAATGGGTACATTTTTTCTCTTATATATTTTACAAATTTTTTTAAATATTATATGTATTTTTTATGAATGTTTTTATATTTTCTTTTTTCTTCAGGAAATAATTATACTCATGATTTAATTCTTGGTTTTTTTATTTAGTTACTAAAAGAGTATCAATATTTTTAACATTTATATTACATTAATTTTTATTTTGCATAATAAAATTTTGTAAGATAATACAAGAATTACGCATATTTTTTAATATGATATAACATAGAGTTATTTTTTATATATTATTTTAATAAAACAAAATTGTTTAATATGTAGTTCAAGTATAATTTTGAAATATTTTAAATTTGTAAAAATATAGGTCAAACATAAATAATATGTGCAACACAACTCACACTACGTTATTGCGATATTTCAATTTTGTAACTTCCATTTTCGAGATTACTCTATTTTCATGACAGTATTTTCCTCTCACTTACGTGTATATACTAACTTATTATTTGTCTCTGTGTCTTATAATTGTGAAACGTGCGGTTGCAATGTTGTAGCTGTGCAATGCACGAGATGTTTGTTATTTCTTTTTAGGTAATTATATTTAGAATAGAAAAGATGTGCACACACACCACACACATTTTCAAGAATACTGAAGAATATGCTTATGAAAAATGTCCTTTATTTACATTCATTATATTCCTAATTAAAAGAAGTTTTATTTCAACATTTCTATGAGTCTCTTGCAAGATGAAAAGGATGTTTGTCATTGCTCTACTTGAAACCCGCAATCTCGCGGGTTTCAAGTGAATGTAATAGCCAGTTTAATAAGCTGTAACTGTCATTTGAGTTAGTAGAATACCATTAGATGAATGCAGTCGTCAGGTAGAGCGCAGAAAATGGATTTGGATAATGCAAAACATCCGTATAAAAGAGACTGTCATGTTGCACCGCTAGCATACGCGAAATGCTTATGCTACCATCAAAATGGGTAAGTTATCTTAATATTATCATCTCTATTTGTTTTATATCTACAATGCATTGTTATTTTTAGGTAATATATATCTTGTTGGTGATCAATTGTGTTGGCGCACACTGGTCACGCGTCAGCCGTCAAGCAGGATATTCTTATCAACGACCCAACGTACCATTCTCGTTACCAACGGAAAGAAGTGGCCAACAAGGATATCCAAGCTCTCAACCTAGTTATTCTTACCCTGCACCTACACCACCTCCTCCTCCTCCACCTCCTCCATCCCGAGGATATCCAAGCTCTCAACCTAGTTATTCTTATCCTGCACCTACACCACCTCCACCACCCCCTTCTCCTCCAACCCGAGGATATCCAAGTTCTCGACCTAGTTATTCTTACCCTGCACCACCTCCACCACCACCACCACCACCACCACCACCACCACCGCCTCCTCCTCCACCTACATATATACCACCTCCTTCGCCGCCGCCGCCGCCACCGCCACCGCCGCCGCCGCCTCCGCCGCCGCCGCCTCCGCCGCCGCCTCCGCCGCCGCCACCTCCGCGACCCACATATATACCACCTCCTTCGCCACCACCACCGCCGCCACCTCCTACACGTCGCACATATCTACCTCCACCTCGGCCGCAACCACCTCCGCAACCTATACGTCCGCCTGCGTCAACACCCGCACCTACGTATTTACCACCATATGGACAACAAGGAACCATCACTACATCACCAGCTATATCAAATACAGGTGTTTCCTCATTTGTCCCCAGTCCTTCAAGTGGTTTTCCAACAACTGGTGTGATAAAGTTGAGCGGACCAGCTGGGGGCTCCAGTTTTGCGACCGCCTCAAGTTCGGCCAGCGCTAGTGCGTTCAGCGAAACATTCATTGGGCAGCAAAATTATCCGAGCCAATCTTCTGTCTCCATTCCTGCTGTACCAAGCTACAGTCCTACAGGTCCGACTGTGAGTTATCCTTCCACATCGGGATATCCCTCTACAACTCCAGGATATCCTTCGGTTACCCCTGGATATCCCTCGTCAACACCAGGATATCCCTCAGTTACGCCTTTACTTCCCTCACCTACAGCAGGCTATCGTTAGCTCTGTTACTGAGTAGTTGAGTACTCTGAAGATTATCCAGGTAGTTATTCCTCATCTTTTTATTTCATTTACTTGGATATTTAAATTATCTTCTAGATGAAATTATTGTTACATATAATATATTTTATAATAAATTAACAATAAGTTATGCTCATGAAATTTGAGAGAAACTTATTTGCAATTTATAACCAACTAGAAAATATTTTGACGTTATTCTCTCAGTGAAGATTATAAAACCAGAGATTTTTATGGCACGTTCGATTATAGTTTTTGAAACTTTACAATAAATTATTCTTTACTTTTAAAACGAGACAAGTGGATATTCAGAAAAACTTAAAATGTGTAAAAATTATGTTAGAAGTGTATAATTGAAATTTTTCTAATAATTTAAATTCTTATTTTCTAAGGATTTACTACATTGATAAAGTAATTTAATAATTTTATAATAGATTTAAGTCCAAAGAGAAAATCTTTTGTAAAACAAATCAGTTATATTTTAACATATCTTTACAATCCATAAAATATTAGAATAGATCTATAACAAATATATTTATATATTTAAGCACAATGTTTCTTTCTCGTTGTAGCTAACAAAGTAAAAATAAGTATGGTCTCTCATATATTTAAAAAAATCTTTCTCGTATTTTAACAGTAGATTATAACGTCATTTAAATATTATTGCACTTTTCAATTACATACAACTTGTTTCCACGAAAATTAAATCATCTCAAAATTAATTACATATCATGAGTAACATTTCATCTGCAACGATTCAGTAAATATCGGAGATATTTTTAAGGTAGCCCATCACAATTTTCTGTAAACATCTATCAAGCGAACGATTAATCATTTTGAACATTCCACAGTTATTAGCCGATTATATGCGATTCACCATGCGATCATTGATTTCGCTACGCGAGGAAGATATTGGGATGAGTTTCATTCCATGCTGTCGATCTACTAAGAACGGTCGTCGACTTCTTATTCAGTAAAAAACTACAAATCAACGTAGGATTAGACTATTAGATGCGACACGTCGGCAGTGTAGGCGGCGGGCGACAATCGGATATCGTCGGAGCGGGAGATCGGCCGTTGTCTCAGGTCACTGTCGCCGGGCCAGGCGCGACCCGGGCTGCGCGACCCCACGTTCGACCTGGCGACCGTGTCAACTGCCAGGCTCACCGTCGCAGGATCATTCAGACCGTTGCTCTGGATTCTTCGTTGCGTGACTATCGACGCACGTAAAGTTTTTCGTTTCTGCAGCTCACAGAAGCAACAGAATATGATAATTTGCGGCAAAAGTGTACGAGATACGCGGTCTAAGAGTGCTAAAGTCTCAAAGAATAGGATTAAATATCTCAAAAGTGGATTTTGAAGATTTTTTTGATAATTTTTAAGAAATTTCTTAATAAATACTTTCGCGAGCAATGCTCCCGCGAGAGTGTAAAATCGCACTGTAATCGGAGTAATTTATTTCGATTAATTTCTCGTAACTTGATTAAATCGACCCTCTCGACTACTTTAAATTGATTAAATTAAATTACCTCGATCATCCCTCGCCACTTGTCGGCCGCGTGTCTCGCAAGTTCCATCTTTCTCTGCTTACGTATTTGGTGTTTCTTGTACGCCATTTCGATTATAATTAAAGCGACCCCGCCGCCGATGCCGACGCCAACGACGATAAACACCCCTGCCATGTTCTCCAGACCGAGGGTGTTCGGCATTTTTTCAAATTGCTCACATTGTTGCACGTTACCATGCAAAATCCAAAGATTGTCGAGGCTCTCCATGAAACCACCTGCGAAAGGTATTGTCAGCGATGATATGTATTTTCATGATGCGAATTATATAATGTCATTAAATGCTTGAAACATTAAACTCGATTTTTTAAATTTAATGTTATGTAATATTTAACGTTCCAGATTAACACTTTGCAATTGCGTAACAAGAATTATGATTAGCGGGAATAATGAATCTCGCTGTATGGAAAATATAAAAACGCGCGAGCATGAAGTGTCTTGTATTGAAGATTATTGTTACACGCTCACTTTCGTGGAAGTCTAAAATCGCCAGTGTCACGGCGTCCGCCCAAGGCGACCCTTTTTGCAAACCGATTCCGTAACCCGAACGGCCAAACAGTTCACCGGCCGTCACCAATTCGCAGTCTTGAGCCGCTTCGAATTCCAGTCGCGAGCTATCCCAGATGAACGCCATTAATTTCCTGGAGAGATAAAAAGAGCAACGTGTAATCACGTGCGACTACTCGTGCAAAATATATTAAATCGCAGCACGATTATTAATATCGATTAAGATATTTAAGAGACAATTAAATAATTCATTGCCACAGAATGCACGTTAGAATGCGTGCCTCGATTATTTCTTAAGCAACATACAAAGTCGAAAATATATTTGAAGCGTAATGAGACTTTAAGAGTAGATTTAATATGCACTTAATAATCCAAGGTTTTTATCCTGGATTTAACGATTCTAAAAATCAAAGTGTTTATGCTTACCCAATTTTAATGTCGCGAATCGCGTCCTCGGCAGTGTCATAATTATTCGCCTCCATTGTACGATACATATTGGACAATTCTACCTGGCGTCTGAAATACATGTCCACGGCGGATCCCTTCACCGTCGCGCACGTCAAATTCTCCATCGTATTCCTGAGCTTTACAAACAAACGTCGGAGGTATCATATCGGATCGCACGATTCATTCATTCTTGGTGCATTATTTTCGGCAGGAAATATAATTTTAGTTCTTACTCGAGCATCGTTGATGCCGGTAAGCTTGGTTTTTGGTCGCTCCAAAACGAGGAAAGCCGCCAAGTTAGCGGTGTACGATGCTACGATGATCATAGCGAATCCGGCCCACACCATTCCCAGCACGCGCGCGGAAAAACTCCGTGGAGTGCCTACATAATATTTGATTGACAATAAGAAATTTTATTAACAATCAAATGACAATATGGAAAATTATTTAGATATAATCGAGAGCCCGTTTAAAAAGTCTCTTCATTTTTAATTTTAAATCTGAAATAATTTTTTCTGTTTCAATGTTTCTTCTTCCAAGTGCAACGGCCGATTAAATGAACGCCAAGGGGATGAAAGAGTGATGCCTTACCCTCTCCTATACCGCTGTTCAATAATACACCCCAAGCGAACCAGATAGCACTGGATAGATTGAGAGCATCTTCCTCGGTGCCGTCAGTGTTGGCCAGTTTGAATCTACCGAAGGGTGAAAATCGATCGAGCAAGTACAAAACCAGTGCGACTACGTGCACTGATACCATCACGAGGATCCAAAGCGTGTTGCTGAACGGTTGTAAAAATGAGACCAGAGTGGACGATCTTGAAGGCTGAACACAGAGAAATAGACATATTTATTTTCGCATAAAACATATGACGTTTTTATTTTGTTACAGAAGAATTCAGAAGAGCACCTTCTTCTCGAGGATAGTGATGCCCTGATACTTGAACGGTTTGCTGAACTCGATAAACTCGGCGCGCTCAGGATTGATTGTTAACGGTGCGACGATCATGTCCGCTCGTTCGTTGACTATCTCGCCAATAAGACCCGTCCATTCTTTTTTCCCTCCGACTTTTTGTGTACCGAAACGAGGAAGATACAAGCGAGGAAGAAACAAGAAAAAAAATATCAGGTAGAGATTAAAATTTAAAATTAATCCTTCGATATATGAGAATTAATTTAGAAACTAGAAGATATAGGATTCGTATATATGGATTCTCTAAACATTTATTTGATTCTTTTAAAAATTTCTTTTAATATTTCCTTTAAAAATATTTCATATCTCAATTCAATTACTTACTTGAAGTATTTTTTATCACGTAACTACCGAACTGACCGTCCGGCGACAGAGCTAAACTATACGTAAAGTTAATCACTTTCGCCAACTCCTTTAATAAATCCACACAGTAGCCTTTGCAACAAAACATTTGTTTATCTGTTGAAAAGAAAAAAATGAATTACATTTTATTATATTTTCTAAGTATAATTTCTGTTGGTCTGGCAATGGAAATATTGACGACTAGTTTGAGCCGGCGTAACATTCATTATCGTATTAATTCTGGGGGGACGATACGACCAAACTTTGATTAAGTTAATCGATTGATTAATTCGATCGACAAAATTGTTTGCAGCATAATTTTTAATTCATTGTTTCTAATCTTTCTTTCCATGTATTAAACAGGTATTAAACTGTTCTATCCAGACTAATAAAATAGCACATATATTACTCGATAAATTAATCAGAATTTGGTTGAAATCAAGCCCTCACTGTTGGCTATATAACAACGCACCGTCTGTCATGTTGAAGTGCGGACACGCAATCTCCTCGGGTAGACACCTGGCCTCGCTATCGGGCAATTCGCGAACGTAAACGAACGGCTTTTCCTCGATCGTCAGCACCTTCAGATGCGTGGGTATCATGAAGCCCTCGGGTTTGATCTTCAAACGACCCGGCCATATGATGTTGGATTCGTTCACTCGCAGCTTCATCTTGGTACCATTCTACCCAGCAAAAAAGAAACATTACGTTACAAAAAAGCTTGTTCTTTAGCGCAAGATTGATTTTTTACGCAGAATACACGGAGAGAATTTCCTTTTAAAATTTATCCTGAAAATTTTATTAATCGTGGAACAACATATAAGTATTTCGGCAAATTTTACTGTGCACTATAATTAATTTGTTGTAGTATACATATATTTAAAAAAATAGTGAAAATCATATAAAATTCGTCGAAATACTATGTTGGCCTATATGATTAATATGATTTTTAGGGTAAATTTGAAAATAAAATTCTCTCCGTGATACAATCAACTGTTTTCATGCAACTTACGCTCGTCGAATTATCTACTTACAGCGGGATAAAAGTACTGGCCGACGGACACCTGCGTCTTGTTATTGTCTGGACCCGTGTACTGGATGTTGATTATGTCGTACTCGGCGTATATGCGGTCCCCGTTATCGTCGAATGC